CCGCATCCACCTTCCTATATCGCTTTGACTACGACTCTGAAGTATTGCCATATCCATATCGTTTATGGCGACTGGGACGTGGTGTTAAGGGCGCATCCCATGGCGATGATCTCGCTTATCTTTTCTCGCATGCCATGGCTCATCGTTTGCCAAAAGACAGTCCGGATTATCGCACAATTCAGCGAATGATTGGTATTTGGACCAATTTTGCTGCAACTGGTAATCCAAATAATAAAGAACTACCTGAAATGGCAACACTTGTTTGGGAACCAATCAAAACATCTGAACCAGCTTACAAGTGCCTTAATATTGGGGATGAGCTAAGGATTATAGATTGGCCAGAGATGGAAAAAGTTAGGGTGTGGACAAGTACTTACGATAAAAAGAAACAGTTGTTGTACTGAAGTAGGAAACAGTTCAGTTAAGCATTTTGAGTATACTTAAATTTTCAGGAAATTCTAAAAATCTTGTACGGATTTTTAGTGCTTTTCATAATAAAATAAAAAATTATGCAAAATTTTTAATATGATATTTTTATAAAAGATAAGAAGCTTTTTAACAATCTTATTTTTCATATATTTGGGTGTGTGAAGACAATTTTCTGACAATTCAAACCAGCCCGGACTTTGCCAACATTTTCTGAGTAAACATATCCATTAATAAAACGCTCGATGGATTTGCAAAAGTGAGCTCGTTTTTTATTTTACGGCCAACTAAATATTTTCATAGAAAATTTTAACCCATTGGCTCCCGCACGAAAGGGTCGTTTTGACCCTAACTTCAAGAAACCCCGCACAACGCAAATTTGTAAGGTCATTAGAGGAGTGATATATTCTAGAAAATTATTCTTCGAAACATTTTACTAGGGGCCTCCTCAGGCAAAAAATTCATGCCACCGACGTAAACCTCTCTAAAAAATTAGAATAAAAAATCAACAAAAAAAATTATTCTTCGAAACATTTTACTAGGGGCCTTCTCAGGCAAAAAATTCATGCCACCGACGTAAACCTCTCTAAAAAATTAGAATAAAAAATCAACAAAAAAAAAATATTTTTTTTTGTTTTAATGTTTTATAGTTTTTACTTGAGAAGACTCCTAGTAAAATTTTCCGAAGAAAAATTTTCTAGAACACACCAATCAATCCTCAAAAGAACTTAAAAATTTGCTTTTTGCGGGGTTGCTTGAAATAAGGATCAAAACGACCCTTTTAGGCGGGAGCTAATGGATTAAAATGTTCTACAAAAATCTTTACCGTGAAATTTACCATATATATCTTAACCCTTAATTATGCTCAGACATTTATTTTAACAATTTTTTCCACTTTTTTGAAAACTACTTAAGCCGAGACATGTAGGCCATAAATAAAAATACTAGCTAACTGTTGCAAATCCGTCGAGTGTTTTACTACTGATTGGGTACACTTTCAGAAAATGTTAAAGAAGTCCGGGCTGGTTTCGGCTGTCGCACAGTGTAATTGGTATATATTTTTGTAAAAAAAATGGTATTATGAATTGGAAATTTAAAAACTATTTTTTGTTACCAATTCTAATAAATTATGTAAACATATTTAAAATTTTTCAATTACCTATATATTATTACAAAAGGAAGGAAAGAAGAACAGTTGTTTTTTATTCTCTGAAGGCAAGCTCATTTTAGCAGAGGGTAACTCTTTTTTAGGTAATAAATAGATATACTCGTATTAAACTTTATTTACTTCGAATACCGCGGGTCCAATATTTTTTGACTATTTCCATCGAAGCTACCTTACCGCTTCATGTGTTATGAACCGAAGGCATGGCTGCATATGATTATTTAATTCATATACATATGTATATGTACGTATGTATGTGTGTATTCGTAAATGAAAAAATATACATATGGGTCATTCGATACAATATTTACACCTCAATATTTGTTTTTGGGTGAAATATATATTTTTACATTCTTCCTCGGAAAAAGAAGAAAGGCACCTATTTTTTATTTCGCCATGATATTCAAAAATCTCGAAAAAAATCTTAAAAAAGATACTTCTCCGTGAGTTCAAAATTTCGGGAATTTTTTTTTCCGGTTTTCGAATATAATGACGAAATAAAAAAAATAGGTGTCTTCTTTTTTCGATAAAGAATGTAAAAAAATATATTTCACCCAAAAAAAAAAAAATATTGAGGCGTAAATATTGTATGGAATGACCCATATGTATGTACAGTAACAGAAAAATGGGCAACATATTACTTTTTTTTATTACTTTTATTACACAATTTCATTTTAAAGCACATTTCAGGACCGCGCGTGTTAAAATAATAAAAAATTCTTCAAATATGAATGAATGTGTGGACATAACGATTGAGGCGACATTCGTTTATGTAAACATGTGTAAATGCGTTGTGTACTTTCAACGCCACCAGGGATACATTAAATTCACATTAACTCTTGTGTTTAACAATCGAAATAATAATCAAAACAATAAACACACACCATAATGAGCGATTTCTTGGAAAATTGGTGATTGTAAAAATTAAGTATTATAAAAAGGATAAAGAAATTGAAGTAGATATGTAAGTATAAAAGAAATACAATAAAATAACCTATACATAAAGATATGTATACGTACATACATATATACCCTGCTAAAAAATAGAATGACTTCGGGATGTTCGGGCATATCCTACGAAGAGAAAGAGAATATTCTCGCTAGCTGGGGTTCGAACAGCGGAACTTAAAGATGAGAAAGATGAGATGAGAAGTATTTGGTCTGCTTCCACAATTTTTGTTCCCTTAGTCTAAGAGCCCGTTTTGGGGCTACGCCTATTTATAACGAATACTTGTGTTGGGCTTTAAGAAAAAGAGAGAAAATAGGCAACATCGCCAGCGAAAAGAATTCTCAAAAATTAACGCGAATCCGTTAAAAATAAAAAAAATTTTTAAAATAAATAAAGAAAAAATAAATGGTAAAAATTTGTAAAGCACAACTTCTTTGTGACCTAATGTGGCCACCACTGTATATATTGCAGATATTTTCCTTCTGTGCATACAGATAACAGCATGAGTCCTTTTCATATAATTTCCCAATGGTATGATTTTTCAGCTATTACTGTGAATCGCTTGAAAGAATTGCGAATTAATATTGGCCTGACTCACTGTCTGGAAACTTGTTCGAGAATAGCGCAGAAATGGAAGCAACAAACAATAATACATACCATGTGATTGTTTGTATGCTGAGGATACGCGGAAACGATAATCCACATGCGCGGATATGGTACTTATGAATGGATACGCACATATGTATGTATGTATGCATGTAAGTTTAGTCATCTCGCTGTATACCGTCCCAAAGGAAAACTGTGTTTTGTAAATATGCTGGCAAATGTCAGACATACTGCTTGTGATAACAGAGAAATGGGAATTAAGAACATGCGCATTCTCTTGACTGTAACACTTAAGCACATATGCACACTTGTGCTGCAAAGGGTTTAGCTAGACATACTAAAGTGTAGATATGTATGTATATGTGTATAGACGAACATTGTTGGAAGAAATTTAAACACAAAAATGCCTGAAAGTTGGTTCCCAAAATGGGCCGTTTTTCTCATAGTGTCTGACCAAAACTTGCTATCTAATATAGGGAAACCGAAATACGTAGATGTAAAAGGCATAAGATGTTGACGGAGAATGAAAGCTCCTCAAAATTCCATCAGATAGTTAGTTAGGCAATTCACGGAAGGTTTTAAGTTCAGGGCGAAATTCTGTAAGAATAACCGTGATGGCCTAGTAACCAATGCCTTGAACAAATACTGGCACTGAGGCCAGTTGAGAAGATCAGCCCGAACCTGCAGTCAAAGAAGGCGGCCTTATTGAACTTAGTGTACCTTATTAGCGGGGATTTTTACCTTGGAAATCCACAATAGACCAGGTAGTCACCATATCACAGTGGTAGTAATGGTCAGCTTGAAAAAAAAAATTGAATTTCCAAAATTAATTTCAATAAAACATGTTTATGGATATCCAACAAGACAGTTTTAGGTAGATTTTAATTCAAAACTAATGTTGAGGAGGCCTGCGATGTGCTTCAATATTTAAAATAAATTTAATTAGTAAGTTGATAGAAACCCTTCAACGCATTTACTTAGGTCCGAATCGATTTAAAGAAACCTTTAAAATTTTAGTAATTTAAAATGAAATCAAATCACAAATAAATAAAATTTTTATTTGTACATATTTATGTATATCGTCGTTTGAAGTGCAAAACCGCGTATCAACAAAATGAAAAACCGAGTATGTAAAGTTGTAGACATTATTTTCTAGAGCGTAAAAGCACTCATATTTCAAAATGGTTCTCTTTTTTATAAAGCAATCTTATTTCTGGCGGGTATATTTCAGGACGAATGGATAAGGGGATTGAGCCAAGAGCTTGTGTGAGCAAATCCAATTTTTGGCCGCCAATGTCAGTTACGCGGTTTTGCAGAATGACGATACGCGGTTTTGTACTTTAAACGACGATATGTATGTAATATGTTTATATGTACATATATCGAACGCATACAAACTTACGCATGTGCATGTGCATATAGTATGTAATTAAATGAGCCGGATAAGCGCGAAAATTCCCAATATAGTGCCACATTAGGAGAAATTGCATTGCTATCAAGCATTTGCGCATCCATGTGCTACACACTACACCCAAATGTTGATGTTACAAAAACACACCCAACACAGCTCAAACCGTGATGCAACAGCGCTGACGAGCTAGAAATTGCTAACTGCCGATATATTTTTTTTCTATTATTTGTACCATTATCATTGCCTTGAATAGCTGATGATAAGCGCTGCAATGGCGCCAATTGCAGTCATGGTGCACATGCAACCGATCTTTAGCTACAAGTGTTGTTTTCATTTGTGCATGCTTTTTTTAGTAAACGTTATACATAGGAGAAAGACTCTTATTTCGCTCATTAAAGTGTTGTATACGCAAAAAATTGTGAGCAGTAAAATTTAAGGTCGAAAATTTGAAAATTTTTCGCACGATTTTCAATTCGTAATCGGAATGTAAAACTTAATTTGCCATAAAAAACGTTTTTTCTTCCTCAGGGGAAGCTTAGTTTTTATGCATGGTAGTCATTTTCTTCCGGGAGTTGAGTTGAGTTGAGGTGCGTTAAGGTGGGTTGAGGTGCGTTAAGGTGAGTTGAGGTGCTTTAAGGTGCGTTAAGGTGAGTTGACGTACGTTATGGTTAATTGAGGTGACATAATAAAACATAACAGTACATAGCATAACAAAATATCAAATAGCAAAAGATAACATAAAATAGCATAACATAACATAACACAACCTTACAAACATTACATAATATAGAATAACATAATATAACACAGCATAACATAACATATGTCCTTCTTCAGTTTTATCTCTTTATTTTTCTCCCACTTTCTCTAGCTAAATCTTTATATCTATGGTTTTTTACAGGGCTGCAAAACATTCCGAAAAACGGTGCGGTTCGAATCAGTTGTTCGATAACGATTGAGGAGTGAA